CAGATCGGAGACTGGATTGAGGACGAGGTGAGAGAGGGGGAGAGAATGCACTTAATCCTAGGTGACCTTTCGCTGGAGGGTAAAGCGGTGAACCAGCAGAGAGCTAAAACGTGGAGAGAAAACAAGAAGAGAGAGGAAGATAATGAGTTGGGGAGAAGAGACCCATTCAGAAGAAGTGATGAAGAGGTGAGTGGAGAGAGAGGGTCGGATAACTGGAAGATTTGATATACTGAGGAGTGCGAGCGAGAGGAAAGAAGAAGAAGATGGCCGAGAGAGGAGAGAGGGGATTGGAAAATGGAGAGGGAGGAGGAAGAAGACGGAATGGCAGCAGGATGAGGAAAGATGATAGAGAGGATAGGGACGATGAAATATAGAAAAGAGGAGAGACGACGGACAGAGGAGAGGAAAGGAGGGAGGATCCCTACGGAGGATGGAGGAGAACAGCAGAGACGGAGGACCCGAAGGAAAGAAAGGAGAGAATGAAAGAGATTGAGAAAGAAAGAGCGGAGAGGGAGAGTATAAGGAGAGGAGGACAAGGAGAGAGAGTAGGTGAGAGGGAGAGTTAGTGCGAGAGGATAGAGGGGAGAAGGATAGAAGAAGAGGAGAGAGAGGAGAGGAGAGGATGTGAGAGAGATGAGAGAATGAGAGAAGAGAGAGAGAGAGAGAGGAGAGGAGAGAGAGGAGAGGGAGAGAGAGGAGAGAGGAGAGAGGAAGAGAGGGAGCAGAGAAGAAAAGAGGAGAAGGCAAAGCAGATAACTGCACAAAACACTGAGATTTTATGACATTTCTAATTTTTATTTTACATTTTTATTATATATATTTTAAAATATAGAATATTGTCGTTACATTGTAAGAATTCAATTGTTGCTCAGTTAAAGCTCATTACTACAAAGAAGAACACTGCTATGTTCACTGTACAGAGCTAGAAGCACCAACTTCTGACTGACTACACCAAACATCATAGTGTTAGCCTACCACTTGGTTAAAGTACACCCAACAGATTTAATGTGGCCAAGAAAAGCGAGATGAAAACAAACTGTGTAATTGTGCAATATATATATTGAAGTGGGCAGCCTCAATTTTTGTTACTTTTGGGCGGGCCCCCCCTTGATTTATTGTTGTTACCCCCTGTGCACCCCACCAGAAAATTCTCCGGATCCGCCCCTGTAAAAACCACCCCCCCAAAAAATATAACGAATAAATCGGCTTAAAACCGGCTCTGTATCTTCAGGGTCATGGCAAGGTACAGAGAGCCTGAGAGCTATTCAACATGTGTCTCACACAGGCTTTATCACAAATTGCATGCGTACCAATGTATATATATTTGTGTGTGTGTGTGTTGTGTTGTGTGGTGTGTGTGTGTGTTTGTGTGTGTGTGTGCTGTGTGTGTGTGTGTGTGTGATGTGTGTGTGTGTGTGTGTGTGTTGTGTGTTGTGTGTGTATGTTGTGTGTGATGTGTGTGTGTGTGTGTGTGTGTGTGTGTGTGTGTGTGTGTGTGTTGTGTGCTGTGTGTACACATTTTTGACGCGCGGTGCCGTCAAAACAAACTACTCCCGAAAACATTGGCATACCAATGCCAAATCATTACCGGAAATTGAAGGAACCGATATTAATGGGTAGTTTTTTTAATTTCAACATGTATACATACATACATACATTACATTACATATATATTTATATATAATTTATATATATTATATATATATATATATATATATATATATATATATATATGTATAATATGGTATGTATATATATAAAATAAAGTATATAGAAACATATGTAGCTACATACTATATATTGATAAATATAAATTTTATATAATATATATATATTATAATATATAAATATACTTTACACACACATATTATATATATATATTTTATTATTATTCTATATATATTTTATATTATATATTTATTCATTATAAATATCATTAATATAAATAATATTAATATTATTATATATACTAATTAATTATATATTTATAAATATATTATTATTATTATATTTATATTTTAGGATAGGAGTTAAGTAAGTTTAGTTATTTCTAGTTTAAAGTGTTTGTAT